CCCCCCCCCCCCCCCCCCCCCCCCCCCGCTGGCCGCCCGAACCCCGTCGGCGGATAATGATGCCACAGATCGTTGACGGGATTCACAGGTACTTCGCTGGAGAGCTCGGGCTCACCCCGGAGGAGTGCAACGACATCCACCGGAGGTGAGACAGGAGCATCAGGGGCCTCCACCGCCTCCTCCGCTTTCAGCAGCAGCCGGACCTTGAGTCTCCACTCGTGCTGCAGGCTGCTGATCGAATGGGCTGTCTTGGGTACTTTCCACGGCCAACGCTGCTCTGCCCTGGTGGTTCATCTCCTGCGTATGCATGTGATGCTCGCCATCTTCAGTGACACCTCGGCCGGAGTATTGGAACTCCGCGGGCTGGGTGTATTTCTGTCCTGCTTCTTCGATCACCATGGTGGCGGGGGTAGTGTTGCTACATAGCAGCGGTGATTCCCCCTCCTTCTGCTGGTTCCAAAATAAGTAAAAAAAAAACTAGCAGCTACTCTGAGCCTTGTTTTCCTGCTAAAGTGTGTGGCTTTTTGCGTAGCCCTGCGTGCATGCACCAGAATGTTCAGGATTGGCGTCATGTGAAGCTGTGGTTGTTTGGCGGGGGTGCTGCCCATGCGCGTGACTGCGGTAGCCTCCGTCGCGTCGGCCTAACTCTGGTGTTCCCGGAATGTGCCCCCCTCCCTCCCCCCGTTCCTCTCTCTCTCCCCCCCCTCGCTCCCTTCCCTCCCCCCTCCTTTCCTCCGTCCCTCCCTCCCTTCTTACCCCTCAGACACGGCTCGACGGTGTGGGGTCTGCAGCAAGAGGGGCGGCTCACGCAACATCAGGTGGAACGGTACTACCAAGAGGTGTGATACAGTTTCAGGCGGAACCATTGGCGGACGTTGCTGTCGCTCCGGAAGCACGCCGTTCACAGCTTCAAGCTTCACATGCTGCGCCTGTTGCAAGGGGTTGGTCGCTGTGCGTGTTCTCTCTGCCCTCTACCTCATTATCACGTTCGTCGCCGTGTCTGCACGTTGTATTTGTTATGGAGGCGATCATTGATTGATGCTGCTGCCTTTTCTGCGTAGGTGATGCCCATGCATAACTTCGTTTTGTAGCCTGCTGGGTACATGCATATAGGCGCTTCCCACGTCGGGTTTTGTACTCATTTGCGTTCCTCCACCAGATTCATGGCAACTAGGGCTACCTCTGCTACTGCTGCTACTCTGCTGTTACATATGTTTTTCGCGGGAGTTATTCTGTCAGTAGCCGAGTACACCAGTCTAGTTGGAAGCACACCGCAGCTTGTTCAACTTATGTCACACTTTTTTTCTAGCCGTTTGGTTAGTCTGCGGTGGTTTTATATCGCTGCTGCTGAGCCCCCTCCCCCCCACTGCCGTCGTCCGCGCTGCCCCCGCCAGGTGTTCTCGTCGGTCAGCGTCCGGGGCCTGAACGCCGGGGATAGCGGCGACGGGGATGCCACGGGCTACCAGCACCGCGCCAACGCCCGGCAGATAGTCTGCTCGCACCGCGGACCCGTGTTCGTCGCGTCCAACTCGCCCCTTCCCCATGTTAGTCGTTTGGTTGCACGCCCTGCTAAATGCCCTTCGCGAAGAAGATATTCAGAATGCCTAAGCCGTTTGAATCCTGGTTTCCTCTGCCTCTGTCTCTCTGGATATCCCTTCTGCAATTATCGACGATCGGTGGGTAACGTGAGGTGCTGCCTTCTTCCGGACAATCCGGGGTGCACAGCTGTGATGTTCCCCATCCCTTGTTTTTTTGCATAATCCGTCGCCGCCCCCGCGGTCGCCATCGATCAGGTGCGCCGCGTCCTTGAGGGAGTAGGTCTCGGCAATGTTCGCTTTGCGGGTTTTCTCACACCGGACACAAGGTGAGGAGACTATCAAGTAATTTAACTACCCAGAAAATAGAAAAACCCTAGTTCGACGAAGGGGTAGAAACGTTTCACGGGGTACATGCACGTACGTGCGGGCGCGCGTGCATCTAGAACTAGAGGGAAGTACTGTTGTCGGTAGGATGTGGCAGGGCCTCTGCCAACGGTCATTGTGTACCTATGTTTGTTGTCGCTTGCTTTTCCTCTACGCGCGTGGTACGTGTTCTTGCGAGGGGCATGACTGATGTCACGGGACCCCCTCTCTCGATGCCCCCCCCTCCACACACTCAGCCAGGTCGGTTCACCGGTTTCCTGAACTGCTCAACAACAAGTGTAGTAGTTCTGAGCAGCAATACATGTACTACTGGCGGTCGGCCGGCCAGCCCCCTGGCTCGCTGGCCACCGTCAGCTTGGTGCCAAGAGCCCCCCTCTCACTCCATGCATCCTGCAACGTACCCTGCCCCCCTCGCCTGCGTACCACCCGGAAATCTCGATCCGGATACGTAACGAGTGCATCGTTTTGTTGTTGTTGTTGTTGTTGTTGTTGTTGTAAATTTTTGGCATCGACCGCGCCTACCGGCTGACATATGAAAAGAAGACGTCAGTGTTGCAGCGGGATACCAAAACACGAACACGTTTTAGTCGAACGGTTCTCCCGACAGGGCGGACGCAGTGTGTGTGTGTGTGTGTGTGTGTGTTTCCGGCGCGCATTACCCCCGAAACGACCGCATGCCTGCCGTTTTCGAAACCGATTACTTGCTGAAAGCGTGCCCGTTCGAACGATCTCTGTGCTCAACTATTTTTCGCGCGGGTGATTTTGTTCGTGCATTAGGGGATGGTTGACCAAGTCCTCCCCGGAGTTCTACGACCCGATCCTGGAGCACGCTAGTGTCAAGGAAGGGGGTACGGCACGGCAAGACATCTGGCTGCTCGACGACAGCGCTGTCAATCTCGAGGTCAGCGACGGGCTATCGACGGGCTATCGTTTGGGACCGGCGCGGGGCGGGGGGGTGGAGATAGATGGAAGTGTTGAGACGAAGAGAGATATATAAGAGAGAGAGAGAGAGAGAGAGAGAGAGAGAGAGAGAGAGAAGGACGAAATAACAGAGTAAGGGGAGCAGTGACACCTACGTGGCCTTCGTCGCAACACAGGCGATATTTATATATAGTCTAGAGAGAGATATGTCAGACGAAATAGGCACGGAGGAGCGCAAGGGAGCGGGCGAGAGAGAGGCGTTGTGTTGAAGAATAACAAAGGGCCGGTTCCTTTGACCCCGAACAATCCATGGTCATCAGCACGTGCTTCTTTTCAAGCACCCCAACCCCCCCTCAATCCACCCACCTGCGCCCCTAAACTTCATGCCCCAATTGATCTGTAAGATCGCATCTCGACTCGGGTTTGGCACGTTGCTTGTCAATGGCGACGCTAGGAGCGGGGGGCAGGGTACTGGTGACGGCGCCCTGTCGCTGGAGCGTGCTCTGGCTTGTTTTGTCGGAGCTATTCCGCACCCGAGAGACTGGCAGGTGTGCACTGTCGACGTCGCACGCGTGTCGTCTGGTTATTGTCGTCGTCGTCGTCGTCTTTGTTGTTGATGATGATGTTGTTGATGATGATGTTGTTGATGATGATTGTCGATGCTGTCGTTGTTGCTGCTCGTCTGTTGTTGTCGTCGTCGTCGTTGTTGATGATTGTTGGTGTTGGCGTTGGTGTTGTTGTTGTTGTGGTTGTTCTAGTTTTTGTTGGGATTTAAAGTTGTTGTCGTTGGTAGTTTTGTTGTTTTGGTTGGCCAGCGGTGATGGTGGTGGCCGTGCACCCACACGGTGCACTGGTATGGAGTTTCCGTTACTTTTGGAGTCATTGGTGTTGTGCTTGAGGGCACTAGAAACATAATCTATGAACGGTGAACTCTTACGAAAATGAGAATTTCGCACGCGAGGTGGTTCGCACGAGCCGTGGAGTATGTTCACAGCATGCACGGTTCATTGAACCTGACATTTGGGCCGCCCAGATCACAACAGGGGGCACACACGACTTCTCGACCAGAGCGCGAATGGTTTTATGAACGCCGACCGTGTCGACAATGCTCCGGCACTATTTTTTTTTTTTTGTCAACCCCGAACTGGAGCCTTAGCGGTTCGCTTCGCCGTGATTGCCTTTGACGCATGAAAATCATCGACCGACCGGCAGTTCTCCGATTCGAAGTACCTCCGGAGCAAGAACGCCGTGGACAGGGTATCCAGAAGCAAGGAAGTCTGGGCCCGGCTGGAAGAAGAGGTAAAGGTTACACCTGCAGTGATGGGCGGTGGCTGAGGACCCACTCTCTTTCTTTGTTTTCATTGGAGTTCATGTATACGCATACGCCTATGTTGTGCCGCTTTGCGTGGGAGGATTGGGGTCCCTGAGGGTTGCCGATGTTCGTATATTTTTACCACTGCTTGTTGTGTCGCGACTTGGCCTTACCCTCAACCCAGTAGTTGCGTTAGTGTTGGCCCTCGTCTGAACGACGTGAGCCGCAAAAGCGCTAAATCCCAACCATGAGTTGAAGGGGTAAGGTGGACTGGAAGCCGCACTGCTGTTGAGGTTCGTTTTGCTGATGTTTTCTCGATCGAGTTCCCCCGCTTTTTTGAAGGTGCGGTGACTCGTGGTGGTTACCTTTGAAAAAACGTGCTCTGGGCCGAGTTCCTCCGCATTACTTTTGGAATTGCAGTGCAACTCCTGGTGATGTCTTGGGTTCGCTCTCTGGTTGGGCAGGTTCTCGCGCTGGGTCTCGCGGAGGGAGACACGCTGCGCGTGGCCGACCTCGGGTGCGGCCTGCTTCCCCTCCTGGGGGACTTCCGGTCCCTCGCCAGGGCGTGCGGGGTCCGGAGGCTAGAGTATTGCGGGCTGGAGAAGGAGGAGAGCGTCGCCAAGGAGGCGTGTGAGGTGAGACAGGGGACAGGGGACACGGGGTACAGAAGATCAAAAGAGCATCGCGAAGGAGTGGTTCGAGGTGAAGAAGACACAGGGGTTCAGGGCCCTGGCCGCCTCGGCCCGGTGCGAGAAAAGAAGTGGTGCCGTGTTCGCTCCCTCTGATCTTCGTTGCAAGTTGTACGAAGGTTTCCAACCGAATAGCCGCAGCGCTTTGATCGGACGTTGCGTACGGGGACACGACCACAACCCCCGCGGGGGCTAGCCGCACTACACGCGCCACACCGGATAGAGTTTCGTTTTTTTGTTGTTGTGGTGATACATTCTACCACGATTTTATTGTTGAGAACCCTCTGCTGGATGAAAATCGAACAGTTCGCATGCATCGTGAAATTTCTGCCCCCTTCTCCCGTCTCCCTTCCTCCCCCTGGCTCGATCCCCCCCCCCCCCCCCCCCCCCCCCCCC